CGAACCATCCAATGGCGGCAAGTATTCCTATCTTCGAAACGGAGTATTCTGAAATCGGAAATGTAAGTGTATATGCAAAATGCAAGTTATTTATTTACCATATTAGTTTTTTTTTCTTACTTGAGCCATTTTGCAGGAAGTCTACTGTGGTGCTACTTCTCGGCTTTCAAAGTATCGTACTATCCATATCGGAAACATTATGGGTGCGGAGAAGAAAATAGTGAGAAGTTTGTTTATCTCAGATCAAGCCACGGTATATGTCTTGGTGTTAAGGGATACTTGAAAGTTTCAGTGGAAGTGATGGGGATGTGCCTCACCCCTGATAAACATGAAGGTTTTATTGAACACCCTTTTCCACTCATTACTCAATTTGTGTACCCAACTTTGTTATCTAAAGACGTGGAAGAAATGAGAAGGGATGTAGACAAGCAAGCAAGGAGGGAGGAAGTATGGAGAAGGGATGAAGACGAGCAAACAAGCAAGAGAAAGTAAGGAGAATAGTGGTGTGCAAGCTTTTGTATAGTTTTATTGCTTAATTCATTTTTCAAAATCTAACTTGGTTATCATTTAGAGCATGTCCATTAAACTCAAAAGGAATATTTTTTTATGTAAGTTTCATTAGCGAACAAGATGAAACTGCAGTTGAACTATAATTGATGTATCTATTCTTATGGGTTTGATGGAATTCATATCTCGTTCATAATTTATCAAAATTACAACATAATACAATTCTCAAAAGCTTACAACAATACCTTGAAGTTCAAGAAATAAGGTCACGATAGTTTTTCTGCAAAAATTAACATGAATCTGAAGAAAAAAAAACTAATATGTTAAATTAAATAACTTACATTTTAGATTTTTCTGCATATTATGCATTTACATCGGTCTTCCATTCATATGAAATATTTATTTAGATGCTATCCAGGTTCAAAAGCCTCAAGATGATGATGTGCACACCAAAACAATGAGATTCTTACAAAATGAGGTTTTTTCTCCCATTCGTGGTTTGAAATTTTATGTTTGAATAACGTTTAAGCATTTTCACTTTTGTAGAGTTAAAAAATGCTAAATATACTATAAATTAATTGATTTCAAAGGTTTGAGATTAAATACATCTTTGATTAATTGTTTTTTCTTTTTGCCAACTCATACTAACAACGACGTACGCTAACGGTTACGCAACTACTATATGTTTTAGTTGATAGAGTTCAAAACTTTGGTTACTTTATTAGCTAAGTGTTGTGTAGCTATTGTTTCTGTGTCTAAGTCTACTTGACCGAATAGATTTTGTAAACGTGCACACATAATGGTAATAATTATCTGTAAACGCAAGTGAGGCAAAATAACTAGTGCAGAAAATAAACGATACAAGAGAATTTTTACGAGGTTCGTTTCCTACTCCTCGGGACCAAGTCCAGAAATCAAATCCACTAGAACCAGAAAGAAAATACAACTTATTTTCAAACGCGTAAATCAAGTACAACTTCTTAATTTACCGCTCTGTTCAATAACATGGATTCTTCAGGATAACCTAATCCTGAGCTAAACTCCCCCTGAGCCTAGACTTGAGTTTTGTGGAATCTCCACACACCAACACGCACGGTTGGCAACGGCACNCAGCCAACGGCACACAGCCACGAGAAACCTTCTCACCAACTCACTTGATCAGTTCA